CAGATCCCAGTTTGCCAAAGGACCCTTCAGTCAGCAACGGCGTCCTGGAACGACGCGCTTTGATTATCGCTTGCATGATCTTGCATATATCTTGCATGCCAGCTTCGTGTCAGGACGGCGCTCCATCTACGCAGCGCAGCGAGCGCTGGTTTCCGGACAGCTCCAGCGCTTCCTTGGCGACGTTCACTCATGCTGCAGAGACGCTCGCCACGCAAGCGGCCGGCCTCTTTTCCAAGAGCGACACGAGCGAAAATGCTCTGACTGGCGCCAAGCCGGATGTGGAGGCGTCCCCTGCAGGGCTGGATGAGCCACCAGTGCAACATGAAGCTGTACCCCCAGCCCCCTGGCACATGTCTCGCAGCAGGTTGCGGCATGTTGCAGCTTGTGTTCGAATGAATGTCCCTGCATCTTTGGCCGAGGACATCGCGGCCTCCCCAAGTGCCGGCTCGGAACAGCTTCCCGACAATCCCGAGACCCCAAGAGATGGCGAAGACAACGGGCAAGCAACGGCGCTGCAGGACAGGGAGATTTGCGGGGCTCAGGGAGGGTTTTCAGCTATCAGCGCAGTATACGACAGTCATTAGATGCCTTCCATTGTGGCTTTGAAGCCGCTTTGGAAGAACTCCACCAGCGACAAGAGTCGCCTCTGTGTCGCAGTGAATCCGAGGACTCGGAGGATTCAATGAAGCAGACCACCAGTTGGGTGCCGGATGGTTCTGCTGCATCACTGTCTCGGTGGACGGATGCAGCTGGCACTGTGGCGACGCAAGCCATGGGCCTGTTCACAGCCACAGCAAGGGCAGCAAGTGTTGAGGGCGAGGTGGGCGAGACAAGTCAGTCGGGCCCGGACGGGCCTGATGGTGCGGCTGCCCCTTGCATGCAGTCCTTTTCTCCCAGATTGTTGTGTGGTAAATGCATGGATCCGTGAGATTTGGTATCGAGCCTCGGGCACTGGCTTTTCTTACTGATTTCTAGCGAGGACACCGCCGCCCCGGTCGGCAGTTCCCTTTCGAAGATCAAGACTGCTGCGGAATCGCTTGCTTCTCAAGCATCCGGCCTCTTCGTGCAGAGCAAGAGCCAGGAGGACCGAAGCGAAAGCCTTAAACCCCAAATACTAGCGACAAAAATGCGGTTCAGGGTTCCGGGAAGCACGAAAGGGGTATAGGGCTTGCAGGGTTTACTTGGAGGTTCATGGGTAGTTATGAGTGTGGTTATAAGTCCCCTATTTGGACTATAACTACAGTTACCCTACTTATAACTTATAACTACCCATGAACCTCCCAGTAGGCACCTCAGGATGCCTCTGCTCCCAATCCGGGCCGAAGCCTGGCTGACCTCAGCGGCGCTTTATCGCAGCTGGCCTCGCAGACGACGGGTCTTCTGTCTCCTCTGTCTCCAAGATGGACGCAGGCAGACCTTTGCCCCTTCTTTTTCCTGTCCCTTCTGTTTAGGTATAAGAATACTGTATTTAGTCCCAGATCCTTCGTCTCCTCATTCAGAAGGCCCTTACATTTGGATGGTAGATGCAATGTAGATTATGCGCTCCTTGCTACTCGTGGAGGCCAGCAGTGGCGATCCAGTCAAAACTGAGGCCTGCATCTGAGCGGTGCAGACGTTGGACTTGTCTTCCTTATCTTAGTTTCCCTAAACCCTAAACCCTAAACCAAAAACCAAAACCCTAAACCCTTGGAGTTTTGCATCGTGTTGACCAGACAGGTGGGTGCTGCCGAAGCCGAAGGAGAAGGCTCCGAAGTTGCTGTTGGCCGTCATTCCATTTGCATTCCCCCCTTCTTCTGCAGAGAGCCCAATACCGTTTACCAAGGAGTTAGCCCCTTCATACCTTGAATAGACGTATCCCTTATAACATGCCTTGAAGGTATAATCCTTAAAGGGGATTTTCGGTCCTCTGGGTCACCCGAAGCCCCCTTTGCGCAATCCCCGTAGGAGCTTCAGTGTATTAAATCTGGCAGCTTCAGTTTAGGGTTTAGGGTTTAGGGTTTAGGGTTTAGGGTTTAGGGTTTAGGGTTGAGGACCAAAATCTCCGGCGACCTCGGCGTCCGGCGAGATCGAGGCAGAGCTACAGCGGCGCAGGTGCGCGATAGGGCCGCGGACATGTACACGAGCCCATTTTTTTTTGTGTGTGGGTTTGTTTTGATAAGGTTTGATCGGCTTTGTAGGTAGGGTTTTACTCGGGGTTCATAGGGTAGGGGTTTATTCGATATCAGTGGATTTTGCAGGGGTGGACAGGGTGTGATCGAGGCTTCTTAGGATTATGTTGGGTTGACAGGGGTGTACGACCGTTTCAGAGGGTCTCACGCAGTAGGGCGTTCATTCGAGATATGATCGTGCTTGGACCTTGGGTTGGACTCTGAGCTATGTGGTGGACCTTAATAATGAACCTTAGGTCGCATGTAGTAAATGCGGTTCGTCCGTTTGACGTTCCATGTAGATAGTTACTGACATGTGTAGTTTTCATGCTCAGACCTGAAATTCCCACTGAAGCCCCGCAACTCCGCGAATTCTACAGATGACGTCATGAACCCTGGAAGCTATTTGGAGGTATCAGGTACACGAGTATACATATTATTATTATGGTTTCCTGTATGTATGTATGTATGTATGTATGTATGTGGGTATGCATGTAGGTATGTATGTATGTATGTATGTATGTATGTATGTATGCATGTATGCATGTATGCATGTATGCATGTATGCATGTATGTATGTACGATGTATGTTCGCACATATGTAGTTGGAGTTCACCATTTCTGAAAATTTCTGAAACCAGGTCAAGTCTAGGTCTTCAGCCTCGACAGAACAGCAGAGCCGAAGCTTCAGCAGTCTTTTCTCGAGTCGTTGCGAGGTCGCGACTTGGCTTGGGCTGCACCGGGAGGCCGGTGTTTCGATGTCTTAAACTGTGGCCTTGTTCAGAAGGGTTTTGACAGCGAGTGCCGGGTCGAGGTGCTGGCGCTGCGGTGCAGAAATACTGGCAGAGCTGGATGCAGTAGAGGCCCACGAGGAGCTTCTCCAAGAGTCAGAGCTCGGCAGCTGCAAAGCACGGGGAAGCTCTGAGGAGATCTGCAGCCGACCAATGCAACTCGGAACGCGAGATTCTGGGGGCCCAGGGCAGTGTTGGGCCTGGGCTCGTTGCAGAGGCAGCAGCTCCTCGATGCCGCGGAGCTGCTTGCACCCCAGCCGCTGCCAGGCGCACAAGGGAACGGGATTGACGGGGACTCTGCAGGCAGCTGGGCCTAAGACTTGTTCGCCTTGCAGGTGACCTGATTGGTATGGAGTCAGGCCAGGCCAGCCATTCAGCCTTGTTTGGCAGTCCAATGGCCTTCTCGTGCAGGTAGCGACCCTGCTGACAGTCCAGCCGGCCAAGGCATTCTGCATCATTCTGCTTGCAGGATCGCGGCGGCCACCAGTAGCGGTTTGCGGTTCAATAGGCGCGCCCTCGTGCGAAGAGCAGCAGACGTGCTGACCTCAGGAGGGGCTGAAGAGACCGAGTTGGGCATCTGCGGAACTCCAGTCTGCTCTTGTCAGGTCATCCCAGAGCTGGACACGCAGAGGACTCACCATGCATTGCGAGTGAAGGATTCTGAATCGTCACTTCCATCTGCCAAAATACTTCTCAAGCCTGATATCCGCGACAGAATTGCCTGGCTCTCTCTGGCTCTTGCAGGCGTGTCGGCCCTTGTGGACCTCAAGCAGTCTGTTCAGGCTGAGAGTACGAGAAAGGAGAGATGGATCGGCTGGATTTCACATCCGACGTGCCAGGCAACCTCCTCATCCGTCGCGCGAAAAGCCTGCGAGGCGGCAGGATATGGAGGCCAGGGCAAGGCCCTAAGCCCAAGGCACCCTAAGGCCCTGAGACATCCTAAGACTGACTGCATGCGGCTGCGCCCTCTGGGTGGCATTTTTAGCTCTTGCCACTGCGGACAGGTGCGGCCCTGACGCCAGAGCTCGACCCGTTGCAGGCATCTTCTTCAGGTGTTGCTTCATCTCATATGTCATAAGCGTGTCTTCCGGGGTTTCCTACCGATGCTGGCTGAAAGAAGTCGCAAGCTCGGGCCGCTGGCCCGGGGCGTCTCACATCCTACGGAATGCCAGTTCGTGTGAGAGTCCAGCTGAGCTTCTCCATGGAGCCGTTTCAGCCTCAGATGTCGGGCCGAGGGGGTCCGGTGGGTTTCCTTTGAGGCCGCCTTCGATGGACACGCCAAAGGATGGCTCGAAGAAGGAGAAACCCCCGAAGCCGCCGAAGCTTCTCCAAGAGATAGCACCCTTGCCGAAGCAGAAGGTTGGGGGCCGAAAGAACTCATGAGATGTTAGTGTACTGCAGTGCACTATAGTATGGATTCAGCTCCTTGTGGTGATGTCCTCTTCAACTGTTGGCTTTTGAGGGACATTCCATTAAATAGCCTGTGTTCCCCGCTTGTAGGCATATGGCATGATGTTGCCTTATATGGATATGATATGATCTTCAATGGTGCGTCCCCTGTATGGACGTTGCCTTAAGTAGTTCATGTCTAGGTGCTTCTTGTTGGGCTGGTTTTGAAGGTGAACAAGGCCTCTGTTGCAGCGATGCGTCAAGTGCTTGACGATCAGCTGGAGGACGGACGAGAAGGTGTTGGGTTTCAGGGTTTAGGGTTTTCGGGTTGGGGAGGATCTGAGGCAGAGAGCCTCTTGTCGATCTGAGGGGTCGGAAAGTCCAGCATGTAGAAAAGTACCAGAGCAAACAGTTCAGGATTTCGGGTTGAGGATTTGGCGTGTCTTGGAGGTGCGCTGGTGTTGTCGCATAAAGTTTCTGGTTGCCATCCGGAGCCAGTCATGTGGCAATGTAGCCATTCCAGAGATTACAGAGCTCGGCAAAGAGGTCTCTTGTTCCATTGAGCTCCTTTCAGGAGATGAACGGCATTTTCATCCTGCATGCACAGAAGATCAAGCGCATGCTCGACTTGCAGGAGCAGGCTGAAAAAATGAGAGATTTAGAGCTACAGGAGCTGCGAAACGAGCTGGTGGCAGCAAAAGGGCCGAAAAAGGCCAACGGCCCCTCGCAGCTGGAGCACTGTAAGAAGCTCTTAGTGGAGCGTGACACTGCTTGCCGTTTGGCGGAGGCCGAAAATTTTCAGCTTCGTGAGCAGCTTGCGGCCATGCGTGCTCTTGGAAACCAGACGCTGATCATGAAGACCGGAAACCCTGGCACCAACGCAAGTACCGTTTCGGGACCTGTGGTCACTGGGGTTAGCAGCCCCATGCCCATTTCGGCAGGCCCCACCCCTCTAGCTGCCAACGGTGTTTCGGTGGGCTTGGGAGGTTTTGCAGGCGCAGGCACCCTGCTGGGCCCGGCCCCAGCGCCTGCCACACCCATGGTCGCAGCACCTCTCCATGCACCAGAGGTGCTGAATCGCCTGGAGCGCGCGCAGACCGTGTTGGAGACGTGGGCCAGCACCCACCACCCCCAGCTGGGCATCCGAAAGCCAGTCGGGCAGGACGACGAGGACGAGACCTCCTCCGATTCGGACGTTGACCTGCCCGGTGCCGTGAGGGGTGGGCGCCGCAAGTTCAGAGGTGACATGAGGGTGAGCCAGCGGCAGCCAGAGCAGTCTGAGAATGAGGAGGAGGAGGTGGTCGACCCCAAAGCCGAGTATCTGAAAGAAAGCCAAAAGCAGAGAAAGAAGAAGATGTTGAACAGCAAGCTAAGAGCTCTCGACATGAAAACTCGAATGCGAGATGCATTTGCCGAGCCTTCTTACATTGCCACCGAGCACTATCACACCACAGGCTGTGCTCAACAGCTGGCTCGTTCGCCATATTTTGAGCACACGACCATGACCATCATCTTGCTCAACTCTGTTTGGATAGGCATCGAATCAACCATCAATGAAAGCGCATTGTTGATCAACGCTGATCCAGGAATTATTGTCGTTGAGAACATGTTGTGCATAGCCTTCAGCTTTGAAATCATTGTCCGCTTCTTTGCCTTCAAGTCCAAGCTCCGTGCGCTCCGCGACTTCTGGTTCATTTACGACTTCTTCCTAGCCTTCTTCATGGTTCTGGAGACTTGGGTATTCTTCGTGATTCTCTCTGCGACCGGCGGGGACTTGGTTTTGTTCGGGCCCCAGCCTTCGGGTGGCTGTGTCCTGTGCTGTGCCAGCCCTTCCGCCCCAGAGACCCCAAAGCCCATGTCATGTAAGGCTATGGAGCCCCGTTTAGAGCCTTTTTTTACGCCCCTCTAAAGAGCCCGCAAGAATGGACGCCGACGCCATGCAGCATCGCTGAGGTTCGACTCCTCGATCATGCGGATGTTGCGACTGCTCCGGCTGACCCGAGTTGCAAGGATCGCGCGGATGCTCCGATTTCTGCCAGAGGTCATGATCCTAGTCCGTGCCATCGGAGCAGCGCTTCGATCCGTGATCCTCACTGTGATCTTGGGACTTATGATCGTCTACATCTTCGCGATTGCTCTTTCACAGATTGCAGTGGGCACAGATGCAGGCACCAGCTACTACAGCACCCTTCCGGCGGCCATGTTCAGCCTGATCTTTCACGGTTGCTTCAACAATGATCTGGCTTCCATGGCGCGGATGTCCTTCCAGGATGACATCATCGTCGGGAGCCTCTTTGCAGTCTTCATACTCATCGCCCCGCTGACGATCATGAACCTGCTCCTGGGTGTGTTGGTTGAGGTAGTTCGAGTAGTAGCTACTGCAGAACAGGAGGGCCGTGTCGTTCGGAACTTAAAGGAGGAGCTCCACTGGGCAAAGCAATCCCTGGGCACGGAGGGTGACACGATCACTCAGGTGCGGCCCAGCTTTCCGCTGTTTCTAGGCACATGCCATCCCCCACCCCTCCTCCCGAAGAACCTGAACATCGCTGGTGATCAGGAGGAGTTCATCCTTTTGCTCCAGAACGATCAGGCCATCGGTGTGCTTCAGGACTGCCAACCGCATAGCTGTTATGACTGTCATGCTCTGACCTGGTCCTGCCGTGCTGTAGGACGTCGGCGTCGACCTCATTGCCTTGGTGAAAGACCCGAACATCATCTTCGACGGAGATCCCTACATTCACTTTCAGGATTTCCTAAACGAGATACTACTCTTGCGCGGGTCAAACAATGCGACGGTGAAAGACCTCACAGTCCTCAAGAACCATCTCTTACAGAGCTTGCCCACCATTCTCAAGAAGAAGCTCCACTTTTAGTTTCACCTTTTTCTTGCGCTCTATTTGCCAAGTTCGGGAGGGGTCGCTCCGCCTACCGGAATAAATCTCGTGCGCGTATGTCCCTGCAAAACGCATCGACACTGCGCAAGGTTTGTCCTACCCTTAACGACAGTGGGAAGGGAGGCCCTGTTGTGGCCTTTCATGCCCCTGGCTTCACCCATAAAACGGTAGATCGCCTTATCAAACGGTCCGCCGACTCAGATAATGACTGCTCCTCACCAGTCTGAAGAAGGAGAAGTACTTAAGTAGTAGTAGTAGTAGTAG